ATGCGAGGCCGCGGCGCGCCGTCACGGCGCTCGTTTCGGTAAAGGTGCGCTTACGGAAAGCACGCGGGTAAACGAGTCCAATTGCTTCTGTCGATAAGATCTTAGAATTCAGCTGTAGGTCTTGATCTGCAAACACTTAACTTGAAGCGCTTGATCAGTGCCGTTTAAGCCAACAGGGCCGGCCAGGTGCTTACAGGTAAGCGCCTAGGATCAAAGCCCTTGGTGCCTTTCCAAAAAGCTGCTGTAGCAGGACGATGGTGAAGAATTTCCCTCTGATACACAACTCTATGCCAATTATTCATGAACTCGCTCCCCAAGTGAAAGGCTGTAACGTGAACGAGCTTTGCCAGAGCGTATCATGAGGAGGGATTTAAAAGGGATGTGGTAGGATGATGGCTGTCCCTGCCCACCTGGCCCTTCCATCTGTTTATTTTTGGTGACTGGCTTGTATTTTTTTCACTTGTATTTTTCAGTGCACAATCTAGCTAATACATTTCTGCAGCTGGGGCTGTGTCCTCTTCTATACACATCCCAGAGCATTCCAGTGGGATGAAATAATACATTTATTATTAAATGGCTCAAGCTGCCACAGTTCTGAGAGCCCTGATCCACTGAGGTTGATGAAATAATTGTTTAAACGAAACACAACCAAATTGTTGTCGTAGAACTTCCTGTCTCTCTGTCTTATTTCCTGCAGTTTTGCGGTATACTTTATTTTTCCCTTCCTAGCAGCTTTGTGTCACAGACGGGGACTGTATCTCTGAAAGGAGATTATACATGATGATTAGTAGTTACAAATGTGTTGCTGTAAGTCATACAAGAAAATGTTTCATCCTGAAAGGGTGGCTGTTGCGTCCTCAACATCTTAACCACCGATGTTAGGTTTTTCTTTTTCTTTTCAATGTGAGATAGAAATAGGTCTGCATGAGGGGGCTAAAAAGTACACTTTTAGGAATTAAATTTAGGTTTTGGGTTGATTCGTCAGAGTGATTCCTTCTCTTGTTTTCGCCTATTACAATTAAAGCACTTCCTGAAACCACTTTCCCATTATTTTTACCTGAATTAGCTTCCTTTATTAATCCTTCCACAGCCAAGCCGTTGGAAAGATGAGTAATAATGGACCATCTTAATATCATCAAATAGTGAGAAGGATGGAAGAAATCCTGGCATGGTTGTCCATAATCCCAGCTCTGAGGGAAAAAGAGAACACTCTGCTCGTCCCTTTGGTGTCTTTACCTGAGAAGCAGTAAGAGCAAGTAAAGGACGTAACAACAAAACTTAGAGCTCCACTCCACCAATCCTCTCTAGCCAGCAACACGCGCAAATCTGTTCCTGGGTTTGAAACGCATCAATACCCACTAGCCCCAGGAAAAGTATTTCCATCACACCCATCTTTTACGTTGTTTGTTCATATTTTGCATTATTCACTGAATACATAATCTTTGTTTTCCTTTAATTTGCAGCTTGAGGATTTTCGGATTACTTGTCTTCCCTCCTAGGGACTGTAATTGTAAATCAGGGAGAGGCTGGAGCTGAGGAGACCTGTGTTCAATTTCCCAGACCTTATAAAGTACGCTGGGCAAACTTCTAGGCCCCATCCTGAAAATACCCATGTCATCCACCGTGCATACTTTTGAACTCTTTAAGATTATTCAGGTGCTTAATGTTCCTCCTATGCATGTATCTTTATAAGGCCGGTATAATTCCAATAGCACCAAAGTAAAGAACGTAACATTCGAGAAAGGGATTGGTTATATATGAATGTCAAAAATAAACAGAATCATCTGTTTATAACTTTGTGCTTCAGGGGATAAGCCAGTATTTAATGCTTAGAAAGGGGAATGAAATCTCATGTGAGGACAGATGACACTTACCTACTGCTGAATTCTTTCACCTTCTGTTATAAATGGATCTTGAATCTCTTCCAGTGTGACAGTTGTGTGGTACAATGCTTCTCTATATATGCAGTGGGAATAACATTATTTCTCTGTGCTTTGTTCTGTTCAGGCTGCATATTTTCCGGAGCGAGGACTGTCCCAGCGGTGTCCTCAACTTCACTGAAGTCTCTAAAATGCTACTGTATTGAAATAATATGAAGAAATCACAAGCATATTCACATACTAATTACTATGTAAAGTGGGGAGGGAAGAAAGTATGAGATTCCTTTGAAAAGCTGCCAGCACAGGTCCAAACACAAAAGGTGTTTGAAGTGGGAGCGCACTGTACTAGTCTTAAGGAATTACCAATGTACCAGTTACCATTGTTTATAAGCATGCTCTCAGTATTATTACATTTGTTTATTTTACTGAAGTATTGACCATTTTTGGACTCTTGTCTCCTATGGGTCCACATTGTATTTCAGTACCACTGGAAGGTGTCTTCTTCATGTAAAGTTTTTCTTTGGTGTTTTCCACTGTAGGCAGATAAATATGGACTTCTAATTAATGGGAAAACTCAGGTTTTATTTCCTCTTCCCTTCTCAGCTAAAGGAGAAGAAAAGAAATATTCTTAAGTTCCTAAGAAGTGCTGCTTTTCAGCTCCTCTTAGGAAAAAATGTTCAAGCTTGACCCTGGCTTCTGCATCTTTCTGTTTATATAGCCTAGCAGTGATTTAGTGCATAGTGGGGTAAAAGGTAGGGAGATTCTGAAAGAAGAACAGCAAGTACCTGGTGGCATCTAGCCTTCCACAGAGTTCCTGCTAGATTTTCCGCTGCTGTATCAGAGACACTTGTCTTCAAGTGTCTCTTCTCAAGAAGAGCATAGGTAGAGAGCAGAATCTCAGAAAACCCTGCGTTGGTAGAGTGTGCTTGCTTGGGAGTCATCTTAGCTGAGACACATCCAGTGCTCTGCAGGTTTACTGCCAGAAGTTGCCCCTAGTTGCCTCAAATCTGCATGCATTCTCATACTAAGTTGATGCAAGCCAAAACAATTCAGACTCTTGCTTAAATAAAATCTCCTCTCTGAACAACACAGGCCAACATATAGCTACCAGCAAAACGCCACCATACACATGCTCCAAGAACATAGTCATGTTGTCAGTTGCAAGCCCTGGGTCCTTCCTTACCCAGCCTTCTGCTGTTACAACCCTTGCAGTGGGGACAGGCAGCACTGGCAAAAGCAGCAATGAATGCACATGCTCCAGGGACGCCTTGATGCCAGCTACTCATGACCCAACAAAAGTTCTGGCAGCCAAACTTGCTAGTACAGACGTGGTCCGGTAATGCAAGTCCTCTTGCAGATTGCAACAAGACTGTTCTGAGTGGTAATACCTTTAACACACCATAGAAGCATTTTTGTTAAGCACTGGTAGAAATTGCTCCCACTTGAATCTCCTTATAAACTGTGTGACTTGTGGTGTTGCTCCTGGAGGACAAGCATAGGCACCTGATGTAACACCAGAGATCCAAGGAGCCCAGTCTGTCTAGTCCTGTGGGCATGCTTCAAGTAGCAGTTGGTCTAGCAATATACATGAAGAAGGAGTCTTTCTCCACCCCTGTGTTTACAAAGCAAAGGCATATGGATGCCTAGCATCAATTATCATATATTTGCATTAAAAGCACATTAAATAATACTGCTTTAAATAACTTTCCTTATGCTGAAGGAATTCAACTATAAACACTTTCCATCTCCATGTAGATTAAATATCAGCAACTCTCTCCACAACAGTTATGTATCCTTTATTGAGATATTATAATATCCTAATATTTTGTGATGATAAAATCCAGGTTCAAATTATTCACACATTAGTCCCAAACAAGTTTAAATCCATAGATACATTTAAAAATCCAAATAAAATGCATCTTTTCTTCCTGGATATATGGACTAGAGTAAACAGAATCCTCTACCCCTCTGTGTACCTAAGCAGCCCTTTGTTCATAATTGATCAGCTCTAATGATGAGTTCAAAGGATACCTAGAGTTATACCTGTGCAGTGCCCTGTCCCAATCTGAAAACCTAAACACTCCCTGGACAGGGCCAGGATCTGGGTTGAACTATGTTGAAAATACTACAGACAGTCTTCATGTAGGATAGGTGGATAAAATATGCATCCAAAACAGAGGTGTAGGGATGGCAGAGCAGGAGTTTGACATCTCTGGGTAAGGTCTTTTCATTCAGTCTTTACTGCTAAGGCCAGCCCTCAGGAATTCCAGACCCTAGGGACAAGAGAGAAAGTCTGGAGAAAGGAAGACCCTCCCTTGATCGAGGAGGATCAGGTTAGAGACCTTTTGTCCAAACTTGACATCCACAAATCCATGGGCCCCGATGGGATGCATCCACGAGTGCTGAGGGAGCTGGCAGACGTCATTGCTAGGCCACTCTCCATCATCTTGGAAAGGACATGGAGATGCGGAGAGGTGCCCGAGGCCTGGAAGAAAGCCAATGTCGCTCCAGTCTTCAGAAAGG